TGACGGTTTTGCTTATTGACGTATCCATCGAGGTGGAAAGCCTATGAAAAATCTTTCTTGCGGCACAGTTAGTTAGTAACCGAGTGGCGGTCTCACAGCAGAATGACTGTCTGGGTACTACCATCCGAAAGGTCACGCACTCGATTTCCTTACACTTAGATACAAAATTAGGTAAGTTTTTCTCTTTTAGGTATTGTCAACGCCTTGGAGTGATTTTCCTTCGTTATGAAAGAGCAGTGAACTGTCTTAGGTCGAAAAGTTTATAACTTCCAAGACCACATCAAACTTATGGTTCCTCATTTGAAGTTTAAATATTAATTTTCCTAATTGAATCTTATTGGATCTGTGTACCAAGTTTGGTTGATATTTAAAAATCTGAGGACGTGGCTTAAATATAAACAGATGGTCAAACGGATAGGGCTAAGTCAACTCAACTCGTCATTCTGATCGGATGGCTGTCAGTATAAACGAGTGTGCTCGTCAAATTTTCTCTATGCCATTCTGAGCTAAAAAAACAAGATCCAATTTGATCTGATCCATTACAACGCAGTGGATATTTTTCCAGCTTTCGAAAGTAGTATTAAGTTCCGAGTAGGCAGCCTAACGGCAATAAAATGTTTGAAATTGCAGATATGTGTATCAGCTCACTGGGATGCAGACGGAAGTAAGCCGTCTACGAGACTGCCATTAGCGACTGCCCCAGCTTTCAAATGATGTCTAAACAGTTGACCCTAAGGTTCATTCCACAAATCGATCTTAGGCGTCCACCCTGGCTTGGAAAAAGTTTCTACCGGCTCAAAGCCCTTCAACAACGACCGTTTCCATTTGAAATTGCTGTAAGTGATCCACTTTCATTACCAGTCACAATCCGCTTCATAAATGTGTTGATTATTTTACGATTCAGCAGCAGCAGTAGCTATACGGAAATCAGTTCATGAGATCCACCTCCAAGAACTAGTAAGGGAAGGAACCCCTCTAACTACGACAAAGCATGCACATGATGCTGGTACACCTCTGTCCACAGCTAAGTACATGCTTAAACTAGATCACGTATAACGTGACCAGACAGCCATAGCCGAGGTTGGACGCGAAAAAATCTAAGCCTTTTATCCTTATGGACCGGTTCTCCATTAATATAACGACTTTTATAATAACTGGATATTAGCTCCTGGACAATCACAAGAGAATTATTTAACCGACAATTTATCGCAGAATAATCCAATAAGACTTCTAGAACCCATGATACAAATCACTAGATCCATGTGTTGCAAAAGAATGGACTACTTTATACTTGACTTATAGGCCTAGTCTGTCGAGGTAACCAAATTCCCATTGGTATTTGAATTTACCATTCAGTAAATTTTGTGACTATTTCGTATTCTGAGTTCACTGTCACGCTGTAAATTTTGTTACCAGCGAAATAGGAGGTAACAAAAAATCTACTGTTTGATTTTGTGTTGTTAGTTTGAGCAAAAATAAAATCCAAAATGGGTAAGCATATTTTAGGTCTGGAATTTATTGAAGATGAAGAGAAAAATGTAAAAAGCGTATACTAAGAAGTTGCGAGAAAAAATTACCCTTTTAGGAATTTTTGCCAAAATTAAGTTCAAATGTTCATGATTTAATAAACAAATAAACACAAATTATTTATTTTGTTATGCAGAGTCCTCCATTTCGATGGGAGTATTCATTCTTCTTTCTTACTTCACCAACTGGCAAATGTAGTTTGACAAGGACGAAAAAAGCAGCGCTGCCAAATTTTTTTCAAACATTGTAACCAGTTCGCCAGAATACCAAATTCAATTTCGGGTGTTAAAAAAAATAACAAAATTTACTTCCGGTAACAGTGAGAATAGGCCCGTTAATATAATAACATTCCAAATTTTAAATAATTATGAGTCTGATAAATATATCAATGTTGGATTGAAACGATAAATTTAACGTCAATCGAAAATTTTCAATCGCTTCGCTTAAAATATCTGGAAACATTAACGTTACATTTATTGCTGTAGAAGGTTAAATCGTTTACAGATAATGTTAAATCGTTAACTGATAATATTAAACGTTAAAATTTAAATGTGCTGGTAATTCCTAGCTGGTAGCCATTTTTAAATTAACGCTAACGATTTCATTTCATTAAGTTCCTATTTTTTTGTTATCTGATATTGGTGAATTAGTAAGCAGTAATGATATTAAATTTTTAATTTATTTATATGCCGCCTTGTAACCGCTGAAGCGATTTTCGACCGAGTTCCTCCATATGGCATATATGCGACCGATTTCTTGGGTGTGGGCAATAAATTTGTTACAAAAGCATCTATGAGAGGATATGTTTTTGTATGGTACATTGTCGCTGAAAGTCATTGAAATCGAAGTACTATATCACTTAGCCCTCGCTTCATTCCGATATGAGGTTTCAACTCAAAAATCCGTCAATAAGAGGCCCTCACAGTATGAAATTTTGTATTCTACAAATTTATTTGCAAATCGAAATCAGAAGACTATATGATGAAGTCTCCAACAATTGTTCAGCTATGAGAATTAATATTTAATCTTATAATTAAATGCATTTGACATGGGCATGAAGGTATGAATGTGGATTGATACAAACCAGAAATTACTTCATTGAAGCAAAAATCAGCTGATGTGCAAAAGGAACCGTTATTAATATATATATCTATATACGAACATATATATTGTATATACATATATAAGTTTATGTCTATTGTATTTATTTGAGTGCACGCATATGTATGTAGCTTCGTTTTTCTATACTCTGCTCATTACTTACATAAGATTTTAGTCAATTCTGGGAAGTAACATTTTCTTTGTTCGATTATCTCGTTTTATTCGCTCTTCTTTTTAATTAACTCCACGAGTAACTTTTGTGTTTGTACTTTGGTTCACTTGATTAAATTAATTGTAATATCCGCTTTTGGTTAAAAGTTTTTCACTCTATTATGCTGTTAAGATAGAGAGAATGGCGAGAATATTTCTCATTCCTTTGAACCAATTAACATTGATTGGTTTCAGCTTTTGGGCTTTTAGCATTACCTTTTAAACAACTGAGTTTGTTTTATGATATAGATAAGTCCAAATGTAGTTAGTGTAGCAGTCATTTTGTCAAAAACTTATATTGGTAAAAGTGGAAATTTTTATACTTCGGCAGTACTATGTACACATACAAAGCTTTGTATTTGTTCCAAAAAAATTATTTTTTTAACAAAATGTCTCTTGTATATTTGTGCAAGTGTTTCTTCCGAACCCTTTTAGTTCTTTACGTAGGTTGCTTTTAATGTTTACTTCTCGGCTTTTTTGGAAACGCTTATAAAGGGTATCCCAAAATTAACGCAAGATTGGAATTAAATAGAAAACAAAATTATTAGTCTTTCGATTATAATTTAGCATAAATTACATCGTTTAGGATTAATTTCTTTTACAGCTTTCCATACATTTTTCATGAATGAAAAAGAACTGGATTCTCATGTTGCGATATCGAACATCAGTATCGGCCACTGTGTGACTAGTTTCATTTAAAAAAAAAATAATAACTCAACAAACTATCTTCGCTGTACACACACGTTAAGTTGTTGTGTTTATGAAAGTATATAGACACAGATATTTACACCAGACTTCAGGAATTTTTCATTTTATCTCCTCACAGTTGACGAAGTTAAAACACTATTCTGACCATATTTTGTGTGAAGTTTTCGATCTGCGGGCACCAAGCTTTTATAATTTTTGAAATAATTTTCAATAATGAAGACACATTGTTCTATCGCTGTAACGCTTCATTTTTACTAAGCCGAAACTATCAGCCGTTGATTTGTTGTTTACGGTTTTCACAATCTTTTACTAGTCGTTAACTTTCGCTTCACCAGTACCAGACTCACCAATGTCGTTGGTAAAATTTTACGTGTTATTCATTAATTCCATCTTGAGCATTTAATCTTTGTTGCTGTCACAGGCAAAGTCAAAAATAAAAGCAACTAAAAGTTGGGTCTAACTTAAGAGGCAAGTATACGTATATTTTCGAGCCTGTGATATTTAAAGATTTTCGTTGTATTTGACTTATTTTACAAAACTTGGTTCCTTGTGACTTATAAATGAATTCAATATTATAAGAATACAGAGCTATGGGGCATGGTACACAGATTGGCCCAGGCTACGATGCATGTGCCCTCTACTTCGCTGCCAACTTATGATCTCTTGTTGTTGTTGTTGTTGTTGTTGTTGTTGTTGTTGTTGTTGTTGTTGTTGTTGTTGTTGTTGTTGTTGTTGTTGTTATTGTTGTTGTTGTAACTGCAAAATTATTCCCCAAAGTACTTTTTGGGGAATGCTGCGGGAGTGACAGTCCTTGGCCGGATAAAAATCCGGGTCGTTCCGGTATAAAGACCCGACTGTCGCGGAAACTATTAGATTTTAGTCGCCTCTTACGACAGGCATGCCTTACCGCGGGTAAATTCTTGAGCCCCTAACCCTCAGGGGGTCTTATAATCTCTTCACCAGCTGCGCTTGTATTCACTTAAACAAAAAAATTATGCTGTGCGTAGGCGGAACAAATTTGTTAATTTGGTGGCACTTTCAACTGAGAACTACCTAGATTTGAAAAAAAATCAGTTTTCCAATTCCAATAGTTATTTGTTTACAAAGGCAAATCAATCTAAAGGAAAGCTAGAAATTACTTCTAATTAATAGATTCCTCCCCCTCAGTTAGATGTCCTTAAAATGCAAGCGCAAAGGCAGCAAATACCGAGCGTGGTGTGTTTCGAACTCACAAACAGATATATATATATGTTATATATGTATATAAATATATATAATCGCCTACTGAAACTATTTGCCCTATTCCACTGTTCCCTCAGAGCTTCAGCTTCAGCCAACAAACAAAAACCATTAAAACCGAGCTAACAACCTAAAAGCAAACAAATCCAATCAATTTACGAAAATAGTTTATAATTTATTTATAACAAAATACATACAGACATGTATCTAAATACAATAAAATAAATAATTTATCTAAGGCTTTCGTGTGTGAGCGTTCAACAAACTGCGGCTAGTCTATTGAGCAACTGAAATATTTACAAATCAACTGTCGATGAAAACACGCACAAGCGTACAACAAATTCAATGAAAACAACGCATACTTATAAATAAAATAGAATAAAATAAAATAACACAAGCAAAAGCACAAACTTCATAAGGTTCATGCTGCTAGGATGGCAGACTGCGAATGCGTACGCAAAGTCAAATTTAGCTCTTCTGCTCACTTTGTATATCCTTGCCAGTGTTGCGACCATAATATCCCGAGTAGGCAGCTTCATGTGCATCACCAAAGCTTACAGAGTTGCCACCGTTGGCAACATTTTGATAATTTTTACTATAATAATCTGTGTATGGTTTTGAGAAGGCGGGATCTTGACGATAGAATTGTCCATGACCAGCACCACCATCGTAGTGTTCGTGGTGGTGATAGTAGGTGGCGGAGCCCACACCTTGTGGTGAATACTCGGGTATGGTGTTTTTGCTGCCGAAAAGACCAGAGAAGGCGCCACCGCCAAAGCCGGGACCACCTGGTGGGCGACAAAGCTTGAAGTAGGCAAATAGACCGGGCAAAATGATAGCAGCCAAGCCGAGTATTTTCTTGAGACCAACAATGCCGAGAATGAAGGGCAGGAAGAGCAGCAATTTCAACTTGAAGATCTTCAAAACCAACAGCAGGGGAATGATCATCTTCTTCAACTTCTTGCGTGCTATTTGGTGTGAAAATAGAATAAAATTTTCATTAATTTTCACTCTTCCAAGGGACTTTGTAAATGCATGTGCAAATTTATTTACATGATTTGGAGCGCGACTTACTGAAGACGGGCGCATGCTTGTCCTCAATCACATCCAATTCACTATCGATATCATTGCCGATAAAACGTGCCTCATAGCGGCCCGCTTCGGTGAGCTCTTCCGGTACATCAACTTCCAAAGCTGTGGATTTGACGAAGCTTATAGAATAAAAAGATAGTAAGTATGTGAGTGAGCTAAAAAGACGCAAAAGTCTTACCGTTCAGCTCGTCTCAGCGCATATTTAACCAACTGATCCCAATCGCTATCCTCATTACGCGGCTCTTGTGAGTACTCGAATGGTTCTTGTAGTAGGGATCGTTGCTGCGTTTCGGGCAAACGAATGACACGTGCAAAATCTGATAAACTACAATAAAAATTACATAATCATTAGAAAAGTAGGTAAAAATGCCATGCAAGTGAAAAAGAAATCCGAATACTTATTGCTCAGGACTTACGCATATGAATCACGATAGAAAATCTCATCGAAACTGCTCAACGCTTGTGTCTTAAAACACTCGGACAAATCACCGCTCACACAATTTTGATTGGTACGCGCCAAGAAGGGGTCGTTGTCCTGCTGCAGACCGATTAAACTCAGGAAAGCGGAGCCCAGACCACGCTCTTGACCATAACTCACAGCTGGAGTTTGTTGTTGCAATTGCGGTTGTTGTTGTTGTTGTTGTTGCAATTGGGGCTGTGGTTGTTGATGGAATTGCTGCTGCTGCTGCTGCTGCTGCTGCTGAGGCTGTGGTGCATAAATCTGTTGAATATTTGTTTGCTGTGGCTGCTGTTGCTGTTGTTGGGGTTGCTGATCGGGCAAACGTAGGCCCTGACCGGCGGCAAGTGCCACACAACAAGTCCAAATGAGCAGCAACGCTAGCCAATTGTGTTGGTGTTGTTTTCGTATACGTGTTGCCATCGCTAAGACAAAAAAAAAAGTAGAGAAGAAAAACACACAAAATTACAAAAGTGAAAATCGAATAAAGTAGATTGAAGGATCCTGATAGTGTTGACTAAAAAATTATGACAAAACGAATTTTTGCATATAATTTTGAAACGAAATTTCGCACTCTCTCCATTTCGCAGGGGAGAGTTTTTGTAAAGAAATCTGAAAAAATCAACAGACGCTTACTGGAAAGACGGCTTGTCAACTACGCACGCACGATTTTCCCGCGCAATATCAACTTTATATATCTATGCTTATATGTACGATATGTTTGCGCATTTAATTTTTTTTTTTTTCAAAACTCGTATTATACACTTTTGGAGTCGAATATATTGATGACGACTCGAGCCGGTTGCGAAACATAATGACCAAAAATCGCCAACAGTTTAAGAAACACGCCAAACGCAGCCGTCTCTTGTCGCTAATGCACACTGTTGCTGAAGCTGCTCTCCAGCCAACGCAGAGTACAAACAACAAACAGCAAACAACAAACTGCCTTTTCACTTTACCGTGACCGTTGATTATTGCCGACACTACGCAGTTGAGCGTTTTATAATATAAAAACAAAACAAAAAATATGTCCATATAAATGCACATATATATCATATATATAAGTATGTAAAAAAGTAAAATACTTTATTTTTTCACTTAACGACTTTTTCCCGAATATTATAAATTTTTTATTTTTTATTCTTGTTTACCTATTTTCTGTTACTTTTGTCTTTGAGGCCGCATTTAAATTATATTCTTCGTAATTTTTATATTGTCAACAAGACCTCTTTGCTTTCTGACCCACTTTCGGCCAACGACTAAGCAGTAATCGCAGCTCCAATTCACAAGAGTCGACACTGAGACTGAGTCGGTTGCACAGAAAATGAGTGCGTGTGCATTTACGGGCACCCAATGGTAGCACAAGTGTCTTGCAACAATCTACATACTCGTATATTCAGATGTGGAAAACAACAATTAATATAATTTTTTTGCTTTGTTGTATTTTATTTTTTTTTTATTCTATTATTGTAAAATACATTGTTAATACATGTTCGGTATTTTAATTTTATTTCACATTATACTAATTTATTATTTAACTTTAACTTAATTTTCAATTTATTTTATTTTAATTTATTTAATTTTTATTCATATTCATTTATTTTGTTTTATTTTATTTTATTATCTTTTATTTTTTTATTTTTTTTTTTTGTTTAATTAGTTTTTTTTAAAGTATTTTATTTAATTTTATTTAAGTTCATTTAATTTTAATTTGGTCTGATTTAATTTCGTTTCATTTCACTTTATTTGACTTTATTTTAATTATTATATTTTTTTTATTTTATTTCATTTTATTTTACATTTTTCTCTCATATTTTAATAAAATTTATTAGATTCGGTCTTAGCAATTTAGTGTTATTATTTTATTTTATTTTGTTTTATTTTTGACCCTTTTTCTTATTTTATTTAATTTTATTTCAATTAATTTTTATTTATTTTTTCAGATATAATTTAATATAATAAATTTTATTTAAATTCATTCAATTTTAATTTGGCTTGCTTAATTTTGCTTAATATAACTTTATTTTAAATGCTTTTAATTTTTTTTATTCATTTTATTTTATATTCTTCTCTAGTTATTATTTATCTAAATTTGTTTAAGTTGGTTCTAATTACTTTATTTTATTATTTTATTTTACTTTATTTTGTTTTCTGTTATTTTACTTTATTCTTTTTTATGTCTTTTTTTATATATCATAATTTAATTTTATTTTTTCTTATATTATTTAAATAATTTAATATAATTAATTTTCTTAAAGTATTTTATTTAGTATTCTTTTTTATTTATTTTAATTTGATTCTAATTATTTTACTTGAATATTTTATTTTATTTTGTTTTATTTGTTTATATCTTATTTAATTTAATTTTAATTCATAAAATTTTTTTTTCTAACATAATTAGTATAATTAATTTTATTTTAAACTGTTTTACTTAATATCATTTAAGTTAATTTAATTTTCATTTATTTTTATTTAGTTTTGCTTTATTTTAGTTTTTTTTAATTTTTCATTTTATTTTATGTATTTCTCTTTTATTTTATTTTATTAAAATTTGTTGAATTTGATTTTATTTTATTCTATTTTTTATTTAACTTTAATTTTTTTATTTAATTTAAATTATTTTATTTCATTCCATTTTTTTTCATGTTATTTTATATGGTCTTATCTTATTTCATTTCATTTGAATATGTATATAATTTAATTTATTTAATTTTAATTCATTTAATCTTATTTTTTCTAATGTAATTTAATATAATTAATTTTATTTTAAATTGATTTACTTAATATCATTTTAGTTAATTTAATTTTCATTTAGTCTTATTTAATTTCGCTTTATTTCACTTCATTTTAAAATTTTTTATTTAATTTCATCTCACTTTATTGTTCGTTTTTCTCTTTTATTTCATTTAAATTTGTTTAATTTGATTATAATTATTTAATTTTATTACTTTATTTAATTTTATTTTATTTTTATTCTTCTTTTTATTTTATTTAATTTTATTTTTTTAATATTATTTAAATAACTTGATATAGTTATTATTTTTTAATTATTTTTGTTAATATTATTTTGGTTTATTTAGTTTAAATTTGGTCTTATTTCTTTTAATTTAATTTATTTCATTTTATTATTTAATTTAAGTTAATTTTTTAATTTATTTTATTTTATTTTATTTATTTCATTACAATTCTAGTATTTATATTACTTAATGAAGTATTATTTGTTATATGAATTTTTTTGTAATTTTCAACCTTAAAACTTACAGCTTTCTGATATTTTCCTTTGCTGTCAGTGATGCTCTCACCAACTGCGCCAACCGTTGGCCAAACAGAGACACTTGTGTGCTCCTACATACATTTCGCCTTAAATTGCGGCACAAACCATAAAAGGTTAATTTCACTTTACTCTTTTGAAAGATTGTTGTTGCTAACTTAATTTATTTCGTTTTATATCATTTTCCTAGATTCGTTGTATAAATGCACCCGCGCACTTCATGTGTATGGTTAATATTAAATACTGGTGCTGTCGCTCTGCATCACTGCTTTCAGCGAATATAATTTCTTTTTTATTTCTTTTTACTCAAGATTGAAAAATATCGTTAACAAATATGAAGTTATTTATTGGCAAGTGGGTGGGGAGGTGAGAGTTTTTCCAAGTACGACTGCGATCTTAAGCATGTGTGAAATGGATTTACGTGGGATAAAGTTACGAACAATGGACTTATGGCATTACGTGAAACGAATGGGTGGTTGGCATGCGCTTGATATGCGATTACAAGCGTCTTTAACTAATCGAAAAAATGAAGGAAATGTATGAATAAAAAAATTTATAAACAAAAAGAAAATCTTCTCATTTCAAGTTACAAGCGCACAAAGTTTTTTTCGGAATAAATAGTGTTTAACTTTTGTTTTAATTTTGTATTAATTGCAATACTTCTTCTTTTTAATAAAAGCATGTACAGTCAATATTAATCAAAGACTATATTTTTTTCATAAAACAATAAGACATTGTATATGGAAATATCTAAGATTTAAAATTTCGTTTAATAAGAGAATTTATTTCTTTTTCAAACAAAATTATTTCTAAATTAATATAAATTAAAACGGTATTATTTTCTATAAACATATATGTATATATGTACCTAAATTTATCATTTATTTCAAAACTTTATTTTCGGAATTTCCCATAAGACGTTATACAACGAGTTTGGCCTTTCTCTTAGCCCAATGTTTGTGCCACACCTTTAAGACGCAAGTTTAAAAATACGAAAAAAAAACTCAGCATTCCGATTTCTAACGCTCGCACATTGGCTTTTGGCGACTAGATGGATGCTGCAGCACATACAGCTAGCAAAAAAAAAAATTGTTTATAGACATTGGTTTTTTTGCCTAAATGAGCAATAAACAAATAAAGAAAAAGCAATTTTTTGTGGAAATAATTTTTTTTTATTTCTCTTGAATCAAATTGACTTCAATTTTGACAGTTAAGAAGAAGAAGGAAAATTAAGTTATAATAAACTGAAAAAGAAATGTATAACTTAGTTTCTTTATAATTTTTTTTTTGAATTGTTCATCAAAAGGAAGTTGCCTCCAAAATATTTTATATATTTTTTTACGAGTGATTTGCAAATATTTCTATAAATTTCAACCGATCGTTAAAAGTAAAATGGAAAAAGTAATTTCAATTGATCACCATAAACACCTTTTGCTGCTTTTCAACTACGTTTTAATGTCAAAAATAATTTTTCAAACATTGATCTCACAAGTTAAAGGCCAAAAGTAACGATATATCCTACATACATATATACCCACAAAAATATTTGAATTGATTTGTACACTGTGACGCCCCAAACGTTGAAAATTATTCATTTTTATTTATCCTTTGGGCGTTAATTCCATTCCTGCACGTTTTCCATAAATGCAAGTGATTTGTTTTAAGTTCCTGCGTTTGTTTGATTTGATTGGTAGACTGGCTTTGCTTACGTTTAACTGTCTGTCTCGTGTAAATTTGGTTTTTTCTTTTTTTGATTTCTCTTGTGGCTGAAGTTGTTTACAAGAGTTGCTATGTGGGTGAAATTATTATAATTTTTTTCTTGTTTTTATTAACTGCTTTTATTTGCTTTTTTGTATTTTTGTTTTTATTTCTTTCAGCTCGGTACTCGACGTATTTTTGAAGCTTGGTATTATTGTATTTTTGCTTTGTTTTTCAGAAAACTTAAAGTTTCAAGTGTTCCTGTGAACTCCATTTGAAAGTTTGAAATTCATTCCGAATATTTTTGGCACTCTGGGTACTGTATATTTTCCGAAGCGATCGGAAGTAATTTAATTAGTCTAACATATACAATTCAAACGATTTTGAGTCAATCAAGTGGCTTGGATTATTTGTATGCAAATTTAAACTCAAAACCTTACCACATTACTGTTATTCGCCAGTGCTTAAAGTGTATTTCAAAATCATGTTGGATTATTTACTTGCAGCAATTTTCAAAATTTCTTCGTGGCAGTGCTAAGCCCGTTTCGTAGTTTGATCCAAGCAAGTTGTAAACAGTTTGGTGTAGTGTTTTTTCTTTACTTTTTTAATGTATTTTATTTTTTTTTGTTTAATTTTACTTTTTAGATGCAGTTTGCTCTAGATTTTTTCATTTTTTTTGGTTTCTTTTATTTTAATTTGTTCAATTTTACTGTTTTTTACTTTTTGGTTAGAAACAGTTTGGTATAGTTTTGGTTATAGTTGATTTCGTAATGCTAGTAATTTTGTCAACATTTCAGATCAAGTATGAGATATTTATTAAATTAGTTAGATTATATATATAATTGGTGCTTGGTAATCGCAGAAGCCAAGGTCCTCCTCCAATTTGTGGTAGGCGTCTTAATGTTTTCCAACAAATGGAGGAGCCTACAATTCATTCTCAGGCGATGGTTTTTTTATGATGAGCTTTATTCAGATGTCATAAATACACTCGGAGAGTTTGACATTTTCTTCCAAAGGGCGACCGCAATTAGAATAATTTATTTTCTATGATTTTGTATGTTTGCCGAACGAGGACTGGAACTCTGATTTTTAATCGCTAACCACTCGGCTAATGCCGCCGCCAATATGGATGAGCTGGAAATATTTACCAATCGCTGTGGATCAGTATGAAGGCATTTCAGGATTTCGTTTAGCCCAGTAAAACGTGATGAAGGTATTTAATCAAATTAAAAAAAATTTTTTTTTGCAAAAAATTTAAATAGTGAAATTTAAAAACAAAAGTTAAGTAGATCAAAAAAATAGTTTTTATATTTGGTTTTTTCTATTTTCAGATATTTATTTTCAACAATGAAACTAACTGAGTTTTTAAAGGAGTTTTATATATCAAAAACTTCCACTGAAGCGATATTTGAGAAAAAATTTATCATCTAAAATATTTTTGTTAATTTTTTTTTGTAATAAACAAACAAATGTATAATAAATCAAATACTAGCAATTAGCTCGATTATTTTTTATCTCGTTCATCCACTTAAACTTTAAACACTTTTTCACTATATTCTTTTCCGCTGGTATTTCATTTCGCTTTAAAAACGAATAGCACTTAAATTCAATACTATTATTGTAAAGCCATTAAATGCTAACACGTTTTCAGTGCTTTTTACTATCTAAGTGGCCAGGCTACCACGGCTACATTTTGGTTGTATGATTTTTTTGAAAATTATACAAATTACAAATTACTTCCATTTGCGCTCTGGTAATTTGCCTATTATGGCGTTTTGTGCACACACACATATTAAAATCATCATAAGTGGTGGTGACAGCAAAAAAAAAATACATATATAAATATATATATATATAGGCGCGGTGGCTTCGAGATTGAAAAGCAAGCGCTGCCAGTGGTTGGCACATGGATTATTTGTATTTAAGAAAGAAATCAAGAGTTTAAACATTTTCTGGGAGGAAATAATTTCTAATTGCCAAAAATGGAAAATAATTAATAAAAAGCGCCGACAAGACCCAAGAGAAAAATTGCTCTCTGCAAACAAAATTGCACAGAAAAACACTTTTATTTTACCTCAAAATGCTGGTTATAAAAATCATTAAAATTTCTGGAATTTTCTACTTAAAAAAATGCAGCATAAAACTCACTATATCTACTTCAAACCCTCTACCTCACAGTAATTGACCGTTATTATGCATTTTGTTCACACACACACACCTATTCTCCATAAGCTGACATGTGTGTTGTACGAGAGCACTTTCAAGTGCAAGCCAGGCAACGAGTCAGCCAGCAGCGATGCTGAAATCACCGTGAGTATCTGTTTACAATAAACTACATACGATATTTGACGGTAGCATAAGCGATACAGCGTATGAAGAATGAAATAAAAATTAATTTGAAACTCTAGCTGAGAAGTAGCGGTGATTTTTGTTTGTACCAGACTACAATTGTTGTGCCGCTGAGGCCAATGGCATGCGATGTAATGTATGTATGTTCACATATAGATATATATATATACAATATATTGTCAGCTTTTACTTTCATTTTTCTCAGTCAACCTCAGCATCGCGCATACAGAAACTCTTCACTTTTCATCGTAGCTAAATTTCAATATATATATACGCATATATTTACATATATATTTATTATTTTATTTTTATTTTTTCTCTATATCATTTCTCCATTTCTAACATGACCATAATTTTCGCTTTCACACACTTTTTAACTCTGATCGTGCTGTTGTATACGTGCAGACGTGCACCTTTTTAGCTACAAACATATACACACATACAATTGTGTGAGCGTTTACTTGAGCCAACGAACTCTGTGAAGTCTGCAGTATGCGGTTGGTCCAGTGTTTCTTTTTTGCCTGAAAATTTTGTGTGTTTGAGTATGGAATTTTTGCATTGAAGTTTGGTAAATTTCCAGTTGGTTTTTTTTATACAAAACCAGAATTCTTTGGTTATTTTTTGTATTTTGATGAACATGAAATAATATATTAATTGTGACCCAATGTATTCATGTAAGTACCAAAATTTATACTGACACAATCAGGATGAAACCTGAGTTGTTTCAGCCATGTCCGTCTGTTCATCTGTCCTTCTGTCTGTCTCTCTGTCGCTCCGTCTGCTTTATAATGAAAAACCCAACAATCCGCTTTCGGGAAATCAGTGATAATCCGGACTGCTCTGATCCCGAGAAAGCTCGCATAAATTCGCGGTGATACTTGCCTCTTGATCTGAACAGCTAAGAATTTGCTCATCAGTTGCTTTGAATTACGAGGAAAGAGTTTGAAATTACTTAAATATTTAAAGCTATTGGTAAGTTGGTTTTGACTTCGAAAAACGAGGGAGATGAATCAATGCGGGCGGAAATGGTATGAAAATAGTTGTGCATTTAAAATTTTTTTCCGCATTAACACATATGAACTTTTATTATTTTTGAAGAGTCCTTGTTACACATGCGCCATATATATACCGAAACCATAAAAAAATTAGTTGTAAAAATTTAATCACTACTCACTTGACGCAAATGCCTGGGTAAATCAAAAATTTTAATATCGAAAAGTTGTTTTCAAAGCAAATTTGCGGTGTACTTACTACACGAACTTCCACAACGAGAGATGCCATAGCAATTAAACTT